GTATATATATAAATAAATATTAATTAAATATAATAATATTATTATTAATATAATTATTATATATTTATAACGGTCCGGATACACTAAAATGATAAGGATCCAAAGATAGTATAAGTATGAGATTGGATAGTTGAAGGTGACTTAAATGAATTAATTTATACTACTTATACTAACAACATGCATCTGCTTTTCGGTAGCTTATCTCATCAGAATTTCACAGTTAAGTGTGCTTGACTTGGAGTAATATAGGGATGGGTGACCTTCTGGGAAGTTTCTAGAAGTTGTGTAATTAAGGACAAAACATGCTAAAAAGTTAAGTATTGTGAAATAAAATCCTTAAGAGGCCAAATATGAGTGGTTCGTAGCGACCAAATTTGCGACATCTATAAAATTTAATAAAATTAAAAAATAAATATTTAGTGACCGATTTAGCGACTGATTTATTTAGTCACTAATTTGGCCCCATACACTTCAGCGACCAAAATCATTGCAACCATTTTGCGACCAAAATTTTTTTCGTCGCTAAACAGTTTAGTGACTAGGATTTTAGCGATTGATTAAATTCGGTCTCTAAGGTAAATAGCGACCAATTTTGGTGGTCGCTAAATTGCATATTTTTTGTAGTGCCCCTTGGTAAGCCAAGTGGCTAATCAAGTGACAAGTGTGTAGGAGAAGCTATGCAATTCTCAGCCAAGGAGGAGAGCTAGGCGACCTAGCTTGGATTTCTTCACTTAATCCAATCCAAAAATGTGGGAATTAGTTTAGTTAAGTTCACCAAGTGATGGTGAGACCTAGCTAAATCAATTTCTTGGATTAAATGGAGAAAAAGAAACCTAATATATAAAATTTGGACTAGACTCACTAAAGGTTCAATTGCTTGGCTTCACCTACACAACTACTACTTACATCCCACTACTAAAACCAAAAATATGAAATCTATGACCCTTAATTAGAACACTTTCACAAGTACAAATTATCTAGATATTGTTAATTCAAATTAATCATGTATAGTGTTATGTTACATAGTATAAACTTGTATAGTTCAAACTTTATGTAGTGTAATTAAATTACAGTTTAATCGAGTTACACTACAATTGATTACACAAAATATATAGGAAAAAGTTACTGTGTCTCCATAAAAAAAATAAAATAAATTAATTTTTTCACAAAACAAAAACTAGGTAGTTATTATTTTTAAAGAGAGTTATTTGTTGTATATATATATTTTTCTATTTTATCCTTAAATATAAATTAGTTAGAAAAAAATGAAAATATAAGGGTATAATTGTCTTTTTCAAAGTGGACACTAAAAAGGGTCATTCCTTTTATATATTGTTATAGATTTTAATATAATTTTACTATATTACAATTTTCATCACTTTTATTTGTTTATCTAATTACCACATGTCAACTATCACTAATAAAGACATGACAAATAAATTAGTCATAAAATTATTTAATTATTGAGTTGAAATAATGGAAACTTTAGGAAAAACTAGATTGATGTAGTTCCTCTTCCAAGTTTCTTGGACTCCTTCAAGCTTCTTCAATGACTTCCTATGATGTTAGAAGCCATGCCTAACATGCATAGAAAAGGCAAGATCTCCCTTAAGTAACGCCGCACTCTTGAAGAGTGATAAGTCTCTTCAAATTCTTACCATACTCAAGAAAGGAAAGGAGAAAATGAAGAAATTTCAAAGTGAGAAACAAGTTTTGAGGGAGAGTGATAGACTATGGCCAAGGCCAAGGAATCCAAGAGGTGATATCATAAAAGAACCAAGAGGAATGGGATGATCTTCAAGACCTTTTCATATGTTTTGTACATAGTTTCTTTTGTATAGGTTATTTTTGCCTTTGTATTTGTAAGGCACTGTATTTCCCTTTTTAGTAGCTATTGTATATTGATTCTAGGGTAGGTTACTTGGACACTTTGATTCCATTTAACCTAACCTAGAAATACATTCTTTTCTTAGTTTTCTAGTAGGAGTGGCATTAGCAAATTAGAGAGTGTCCTTATGGACAAAGTTTTCCACCAATAGATCGGGCAGAATATGGAGGGTTACGTCGACGACATGGTGGTCAAAACTACCTCGGCTGAAGGTCATGTTGCCGACCTGGCCGAGGTGTTCAACTAGATCAGGAAGCACAACATGCGCCTCAACCAGGAAAAGTGCGTCTTCGGCGTTCAAGGAGGTAAATTCCTTGGTTTTATGATCACTAGCAGGGGGATAGAGCCCAACCCGGAGAAGTGCAAAGCCATAATCCAGATGCAGTGCCCTCAAACCGTGAAAGACGTCCAGCGCCTGGTAGGAAGGTTGGTCTCCCTTTCCCGTTTTATCCCCAAGTTGGTGGAGAAGGCAGGGCCCATCTTCACCCTGTTGCGAAAGCCAAAGAATGTTGAGTGGACAGACCAATGCGAAGAGGCCTTCAAGAGATTCAAAGCCTTCCTCACATCTCCACTAATCCTACAGAGGCCGGATCACAAAGTCGACCTCCTCCTCTATTTGGCCGTGGTAGAAGGCGCAATCAGCGCAGTGATAGTGCAAGAGCACCAGAAAGTGTATACGTCGATCCACTTTATCAGCTGAGTGCTCCAAGACACGGAGAAACGGTACCATGATTGAGAAGCTGGCACTGGCACTTGTCACCGCGGCTCGACATCTCTGACCTTACTTTCAAAGCCACCAAGTGGTCGTCAAAATCGACTACCCAATCAGACAAATCTTACGAAAGCCAGAGCTCGTCGGATGGATGATATAATGGTCAATAGAGTTGTCCGAGTTTCGCATCAAATACGAAAGTCACGGCCCCCTCAAAGCCCAATGCCTGGCAGACTTCATGGCCGAACTAACTCCAACCTCGGCCGACGAACAACAGGTATGGATCTTACATGTTGATGGGTCCTCCAATTCTAAGGGTGGTGGTGCAGGTATTATTCTGGAAGGTCCAAATCAAGTCACTTTGGAGCAATCTCTCAAGTTTGGCTTCAAAGTGACAAACAACCAAGCGGAGTACAAAGCACTTCTCGCAGGGCTAAGGTTAGCTCACGATCTCGGAGCACGGAAAGTGAGTTGCAACAGCAACTCAAAACTCATGGTAGAGCAGCTCAGCGGGACATACCAAGCCAAGGATGTTCTTCTGCAACAGTATTTCCACGTGGCATCACAACAGATCTCATCCTACGACGAGTTCACTATACATCATGTACCACGAGAGCAAAATACCAGAGTCGCCCTCCTATCAAAGCTCGCTAGCACCAAACGCCCTGGATAGCATAGGACCATCATCCAGGAGACCTTGCATTCACCTAGCTTAGATGACAAGGTCGTCAACACCAGCGACAGCGAAGAACAAGGATGGATGACAGGCATCTGGAACTACTTGAAGGCAGGAGTTTTACCCGAGGATAAAGATGAAGCTCGGAAGATGAGGATAAGGTCGGCTAAGTTCGTAATTGTCAGAAATGAATTGTTCAAACGTGGCATCTCCACCCCATTGCTCAAATGCTTGACTACACCTCAAGTTGCTTATGTCGTCGAGGAGATCCACCGAGGTATATGTGGCATGCATTCCGGAGCACGCTCGATTGCGACCAGGATACTCCGAGCTGGATACTACTGGCCCACTTTGAAGTCGGATTGCCAAGCCTACGTGCAAAAATGCAAAGAGTGCCAGCAGTTCGGCAATACGCATCGACAGTCACCTGAAGCTCTCCACCAGATGATGTTGTCGTGGCCTTTCGCCCAGTGGGGAATGGACATCCTAGGACCGTTCCCCCCCGCAAAGGGTCAGCTCAAATTCCTCTTGGTGGCAATCGACTACTTCACCAAGTGGATCGAGGCATGCCCACTCGCCAAGATCACCACTAAGAATGTACAAAATTTCACTTGGAAGAGCATCATAGGCAGGTTTGGAATTCTGCATTCCCTTGTCACTGATAACGGCCGACAATTCATTGCGCAGAGCTTCGAAGACTTCCTTCGGGAACTTGGAATTAAGCACCTCTCGACCTCGATGGAACATCCACAGACCAATGGCCAAGCCGAAGCTGCAAACAAGGTGATACTCCGAGAGCTCAAGAAGCGGCTAGGAAGTGCCAAGAGACAATGGGCTGACAAACTTCCCAGCATCCTTTGGGCATACCATTGCACCCCCCAATCAACGACGCAGGAAACGCCTTACAGGCTAACTTATGGAGCTGACGCCATGATCCCAGTAGAAGTTGGAGAGACATCTCATCGACGCCAGGTCTTCAATAGCGAGCAGAACGCTCAATAGATAGCAGCTGACCTTGACCTGATTGACGAGCTCAGAGACGAAGCTCGGATTCATGAAGAAGCCTGCAAACTCCGAGCTTCCAGAAGATATAATACGCGAGTGCGACCTCGCTCTTTCCGAGTTGGTGAATTGGTGTGGCGACTGTTAGGCGAAGCACGAAGAGACACATCAGAAGTAAAGCTTGCACCCAACTGGGGTGGCCCATTTCGAGTTGTAGAAGACTTAGAAAATGGGGCATACCGGCTAGAAGAACTCCGTGGCAAAGTCATCTCGCGGACTTGGAATGCCACGCATCTCAAGTTTTATTTCAGCTAAACTTGTAAGAATGAGCTGTGCACTCTTTTCCCGCCTCAGTCTTTTGTCCCAAAAAATAGAAAATGGGTTTTGGCTGAGAGGGTTTTTAACGAGGCACACATAACATTAATAAAATGACTCATTCCAATCATCACTTCTTCATTCTACTTTGTTTTATCATCGAATGCGTTAGCTTAAGTCGAGTTCGAGCTCGAACCTTGATACGAATAATTTTATTTCAAGCCGAGGTCGAGTTTGAACCCAATTGCGAAATATCTCACTTTCACCCGAGGTCAAGTTCGAACCTTGTTGCGAATCACCTGAGGTCGAGTTTGAACCTCATTGTGAATTATCTCACCTTCAACCAAGGTCAAGTTTGAACCTTGTTGCAAATCATCTTACTTTCCGCTGAGGTCGAGTCCGAACCCCATTGCGAAATATCTCACTTTCACCCAAGGTCGAGTTCGAACCTTGTTGCGAATCACCTGAGGTCGAGTTCGAACCTCATTGCGAATTATCTCACCTTCAACCGAGGTCGAGTTCGAACCTTATTGCAAATCATCTTACTTTCTGCTGAGGTGGAATTCAAACCTTAAAAAGGAAGTCCAACATGAGGTCGAGTACGAACCCCGGTACACATTATTTTTATCTTGCACAGAAGTTGAGTTCGAATCTCGGTATAATTCATTCCATCTCACCAAAGGTCGAGTTCGATCCCTAATATGAATTTTCTATCTCAAGTCGAGGTAAAATTCAAACATAGAGGCAAACCTCTTTAAACTAAGCCAAGTTTAACCGTGTCCTCAAATCACAAATACAGGCGAAATCTAAGCCTAACACATAAGCGCAAAACTCAGAGGTCAAATAGAACCATCAACAGTGCAAGGATAAAACCTCAAAAAATTATATATACACGACAACGTTTGAAGAGTTCAACACATGAATCCAAGAGGAAAGAAAAAATAAGCAGAACAAAATAACTAAGCTATTACAAAGATGACCTAGGCAGAGGCATTTTCACTTGAGCTGTCCTGGAGGTCGTCCTCTTTCACCAGCTTCCTGAAGCGTACCTCTTTCTCCACATGCATAGCGGAGAGGTCGACTCCCGGCACAAGTAGTCTCGCCTGGCGAGCTGCCTTGAGGAATCCCTTCTTGTGCTCGAACAGGACAGCTTGCTCAGTTTCGACGAGCTTCTTCTCCAGCTCCGCCTTTGCCGCAACCATCTTTGCAAGATCCACCTTCAGAGCGGAGACCTACTTTTCTTTCCCACCAAGAATCACCTCGTCACAAAGACGCTTCTCGGCCGCTACCACCAGATCCCCCTTCAGCGAAGTCACCTCGTCCTCCAAGGAACGCACCCGACCCCGGGATGAACTAGTGAGTTCCTACAGCTCACCCACTTGGGTAGCGTAAGTCTCATTAGACCTCAGAGCAATCTCTAAGGACTTCTGAACTCTTTCCAGCTCCCCCCTGGTGGCCTGAAGCTCGGCCTCATTCTGCAACTTGGCATCACCAAGAGCAGCCGCCAAGGCCTTGTTCTCTTCCTTCAAAGGCTGGACTCGGCCCTTCAGCTTCTCCAGGTCCTCCTGCTACTTGGACCACTTATGCTTCTAGTGGTCCACGATGGCCATTGTCCTCTGCAGGAAGACCTCAGTAGAATCAAGGCCTTCCACTAGCCCGGCCGTCTCGATCATAGCCTGATCAGCCGTGCTCAGCGAACCCTTAGGGAAGAACTTCTTGGAGGTCACCCCCGCGCTCCACAGCGAGTCTATATCCTTAGAAGCGCTCACGTGGTCCAACCACACCAAAGAGCGATCCTTTCCAAAGTGATGGGTGAGGTATTGACTTTTGGGGGCCCCCCTCGACGGGCCAGACGG